AAAGACCGATTACTAGCTTTTTCTTATTAATTCGTGAAATTTCTCCCCGCGTGATCTTAATAATTTTCACTGATTTGTATACGGATCACAAATTAATAATAAAAGGCCAGAAGAAGTTAAAATTGGAGGCAAATATTACATTTATGGTGAGAAAATTGATATTACCGCAAGGGTTTATTTCAAAGATAAAAAAAAAAAGATCAGAATAAAATTACTGCATTACAACATTTTATCTATTTAAGTGCCAAGAAATTGGGATATCATATTTAAATGTGTTCCGAAGCTACAAACAATTTCAACATTTAAAGATATTAAGATACTTACTTCTGTGATTATAATGAATAGAACAAAACCATATCAAAATGTAGAGTCGAATACTTGAGTGATGAAAATCCATATATCATAGTCCATAGAATTGGCCCTGCAAGAAATTATTTTGAGCTTTCAATTCCTTTGATGTTAACAGGCCCTGCAAAAGATTTACTGACTGATCCATTTACAAATCAATCTATTGATTATATATGGACTAAAAACTTTCAATATGATAATTATAAATAATATTCAAGCAGTTGAATATCCGACATTAAATTTTAAAGAATGTTGCTGGATAGGAACCTGCGTTTTAAAATGTGCAGATAATCCTACATATCATCCTTGGAGATCTAAAGATGTTATTAGTTATCACTTCTATAATAATGCAAAAAATGATTCTACACAAATATGTGGCTATCAATATGATCCCGAAACCGATCAAATTAGTAATACGTTAAAATTTAAAATTAATTTTGCTATTATATCCAACTCCACAGATTTCCAAGTTGTCAGTCCAGTTGCACACAGATGGAAATATAAACTCAGTCCAGTTGCACACAGATGGAAATATAGACCCTGTGAACCTCAGGGCATAATAAAAAAATAATTGAACATTTACTGGAAACGAATGGCAATTGTCTACACTTCCAAAGGTTATATTTGCAAGTATTCATTATTTTGATTTTCCAAACCATCCTCTTCTTTTAAACATTCATAAAAAGTATCCTCTTGCCAAATCACTAAACGATGTGCATGATAATTTTAATGCCTTGGTTGGTTATGTCAGTGTGTCCAGTTCTAATGAAAATAGTGCTATAAAAAGTCCAAAAATTAATAACATTGAATGTTGTGATATAAAAATAATAATGCCTAAGAGCACGAAAGAAACGTTCTTATTAGAAAATAACATCAATTCTGGTTCTTTCCAACCGTCACCATCACAATTGATTGCTGATATAGGTGATTTTGACGGTATATTTGAAGCAGGACATTGTTTTTTTGATGGAATTGGAGTTAAAAAAGATGAGCGTAAGGCATTCATTTATTATAAAATATTAGCAGAGAGTGGAGATGCTAGTGGAACATGAATGTTGGTTATAGTGCTTTCATATATTATCAAAAATCTGCAGAGATGGGACATGCACCTAGAACAAATAACATTGGTTTTTGTTATCAAAATGGAATTGGAATTGAAAAAGATGAAAATAAGGCATTTATTTATTATAAAAAATCTGCCGAGATGGGTGACACTAATGGAACATATAATGTTGGTTGTTGTTACATGTATTGAGTGTTATTTGAAATCTGCTGAAGATAGTAATCCTGAAGGACAATATAGTCTAGGATATTGTTTTGAAAATGGAATTGGAGTTAAAGAGAATAGTTACAATGCATTTATATATTACAAAAAAATCTGCAGATATGAATCACAAATAAGGATTGGATAAAATGATAAGCCCTGCTGGAATGTTTTATATGAGAGTTTTTTATGAAAAGGGCATTGAAGTTGAAAAAGATGAATTTAAAGCAATTCTTGATAATTGTAATGAAAATAATGAAAATGAGATTGGAGTTAAAAAAAATGAACATAAAGCATTCAATTATTACAAAAAATCTGCCGAAGTAGGATATAGTGATGGAATATATCGTATTAGTGTTTGTTACCAATATGGAATTGGAGTTTATAAAGATATGCATAAAGCGTTCATTCATTATGAAAAATCTGCAATATCAATAGAATGTATACTCTTAGCAATTGTTACAGAAAAGGAATTGGAACTATTATGTTATTTTATCTGTTGTACACTCCCCTGACAAAAGTCACCAGCTGTCGATCATTTTTAGTAATGATCAGCAAGCGAAAGGATTCGTTAAAAATCCGTTTGTTCGTAATTGTTAGAAGATAGATTGTTAATACCTATATGGTTAGATAGTATAAGACCTGTAGTTT